AAAATAATATATAAATACATTTAAGTCTATTAAATCGTAAAGGTGCGTTTTTATTTAACATTTTTTTAAGATGATAAGCTAGATTATCTTTATAGCAGCATTTCAATAAAGCCATATCAATGAAAAAAGTACTTACATTTTTAAGGGGATTTAAGTTTTATAACAGGAAATCAATGTTGTAAAATTTAAATTCAATTTTCTTATTTCAAATTAATGCTTTAATAATTTAAAAATAAGTTCAATATTTTAGATATAATTTCTTCACATGTAATCGATTAACTATGATATTCTGCACACGCTAATAAATTATAATTCCCGCGAGCTGGTAATTCAATTATTTTCCCACCAAGCTGTCTAATTAGACCGCAGTCTTTGGTGCAGCTGGGGAGATTTCCAAGCGTCTCGTGCATATTTATGAACTCGGCGGAATAACAAATTGAAATTGTTTAGCAGATTTATTTGCCGCAATTAGCGCCCATAATTAGCGACTTTTGCCGTCGATTTGTGGGCCATAATTTGATGCAACTCTCCGCGGGGCCTTTCAACAGCAGTCAACGAGATTTTCATGGAGGTCTTCAGTGATTGGAGGAGGCGTGTGGGTGCTGCAAAAAGATCTCCCGACTGTCTGCCAAAATCTGCAGTAAATCCGAAATCCGGGGCCAAATATGGCCATCGATTAAATGATTTTCATGTGCCATAAACGACGCGCGCCTTTAATAAGCCCGATTTTAACGAGCTGCAGTTTCGAAGTCAGCAAACTAAAGCCGAAATTGAAAACCCCCTCCCCTCTCTTTTTTTTCCACCACTCTAAACTGTCGCAGACGTCGAGTCTCCAGTCTTCAGTCTTCGGTCTGCAGTCTACAGTCTTCCGACTCGGCTCTTTTTTCAATCCTCAAACGCGACATGTTTAGATATGCGTTTGAGTCGCTTAATTGCAACTTTTATGGACAGTTGGCGTTTCAGGAGGAGGGATAATAACTTTAATGCATATTTGATGGATATTGACTCTATGTGCCGGGTGTAAACAGCATCGTAAATTCAGCAGAGTTCCGCCTAATGAATGAAAGTCTAGCCAAATTGATGGCGAATTTGTCGCAAAATGAAGCTGATCTCTGCCAAATCCATAGGTCAAATCCGGTATAATAGCTGAGATATCGACAGGCTGTCATTAAATAATGCCACGCAATAAAGGCCCCCGGGAAACACAATTACACATATGCTCAAAATGGTAATAATTAATATTTTTAATTTCTTATATTTTCAAAATATTTGAATAATTATTCAGAAAACCAACACAATACGGAAATCTCTTTTGTTTCCACAAGAGTAAAACTCCTTCACGAGCCCATTAAAACCATTGATTTATGGCCCGTAAAGTGTGTTTTCTCAGACATTTTACACGCCGCACAACTATTAATTTGAACACCATTGTACATATGAAAATGCAAAATGCTTTCAAAGCGATATTTCCACAATTTATTAAAAATTGATTGTATTGCCACGCCACAAAAATGGCAATTGGCCGGCCAACTCAACTGCACTTGTTGAGCGGGCGAACATGGAAAAATAAAATCACAAAAAAAGAAAAATATATATGGCTAAAATATGGGAAAAATAAAAGAAAAACCGACACTCGCAATGTGAAAATGGCATTTTAATAAATTCAGATCGGGCCTCTTTATCGGTGCCGCTTATTCGTTGTTCGTGGCCTGCGATATGAGTTCCATAAATGATTTTAATGCGTGAGTGTGCCAATAAATTTGCGGCCAGCTCTCAAGATAAGGTCCCCCGATCCAATCCGATCCTCCGGCTTTAATTAAAACCCCTGCACTTGACCCGGTTGGCGAATTTATCGGGCGAGATTTATCTCTCGATTTACCGTCGTCTAGTGCCGCTTGTCAAAATACAGAAATAATTTCTCACGTTGCAGCACCGAAAATTATGACAAAATATTAATAAACATTGCTGTCTCAGGTCTCGCGTTTATTTATCTGGGCTCTATCGATTTGACCCGCTCTAGAAATGAAATCCAAATCACAAAAATCCAACCTACAGTTGGCTTTGCCGTTTGCATGTACGAATTTAATTAAAATTTGAGCTTGCGTGCATATTTCATAAATAATTATTATCGCCCGATTCGCCGGCTGATTTCGTTGTTTATATTATTTATGAGTCGGCGGCGGCGGACTGAGTCTAAATCATGTTCGGATGCTGGCCGAAAAACGAAAATAATATTAATGAGAAACCGAGAGATTAAGGTTGTTAACACGGTCGCCGATAAACTTGATTCGGGCTTTTCGGCTTGATCTATTCGAGCCTGGAATCTATGAACTGACTCTATTAGATCTGATCTGATAGACGGTAAAAAATGTAGTTCATAGGAATAAAACTTTGATATAATATTGTTATTAAAAAAATGGCAAAACATCTAGAAAAAATATGAGTTATTAAAATCGTATTGATTAAAAAAATATTTATTTTGCATATAATATCATTTAATATCATTGTATAATTTCTCCCTTCTTTATTTAATTTCTGAGGGCAATTAAAAACACAAGAATTAATATTTAAAGAATTCAATTCATAAATTTAAATCATTGTTTATTTTTTTCCCTGTGCGCTTAAATTCTGAGAACAATTTTTCATGTTTTATTTTAGAGCTGCCTGGGTGCCTTCATCGATGCCTGGCAGTCATGCGATTCGAATGCATTTAATTAGCCATAAAAAATGTCTTCTGGTATTCGGTAATCTTTCCATTCGATTCGACTTTAACCTCGAGTCTGCTCCACTGGTAAGCTGGCAAATAAAAATGCCTCACTTGTTCAATGCGGACGCCCGATTAATTATGAACAGCTGAAAGCGCGCCATTAACATGAAAAGTCAAATCTATCTAAATATTTGCCATGGGCAACGAGTTGGCCCGGACTGTCCGACATTTTTTTCCTTGCCGAGTTTAGTTTGCAGAGGCTCCCCCCCAAAAAACCGCCGAGAGCTCTTGGCCAAATGTGCAAGTTGGCAAGTCATTTTTATCGCCCCGCAGTAATCTGAGCTGCACGAATGTGCCGACGTTGGGGAAAAATAAAGGAGGACGGACGGAAAATATATAACATGGCATCATTTGCTGCCAGGCGCGCGTTTGCTTGTTGTACAATAGTTGGCTAACCTCCGGCCCAAACCCCTCCCCTGTCCCTCTTTCCTATATATATATCCAACCTCTTTTATCGCGACTCCTCCGCAATGATGATGCAACTTTTTTGGACCAACAAGTGCTGCCAAGACCAGTTCCCGTTGCTGTTGCCGTTGCTGCTGCCCCTTTGGATCTCAGCCTTTATCTGCCAGCTAGAACATGTTTGCCGAAAACAAGTTGGCTCAAAACCTTTAACTGGGTCACTAAGCCAGCCATGATCGGGAGGAGAAGGGGGAGAAACAGGAGAAGGTAAAGGAGCTGAAGGAGGAAGAGCTGCCTAATTAAAACAAAAGACTTGGACAACGAACTTGGATTTGAAGGAAAAAATACTTTGGAAAAAGGTTCAATGAACTTTTAACACTTTTAAACTTTAGAACATAAACTAATACTTAAAAAAAATAAAATTATTTTAAATAAGTAAATAATAATACATTATTTAATAATTAATTAAAATATTTGAAACATTTAAAAAAAATTAAATAATTTTATTTAACAATTTAATATATTAAGATAAAACTAAATTGAAAATTAAAAGTAGTTACTTACAAAATTAAAATCCCATTTTGTCTTGCCCATCTCATTGATCTATATATTTTTACAAATTGTGATTATTTTGGGTAACTCATGGGTAACTCAATTTCAGTCAACATTATGAGTTTCCTGTTTATGAAGAGTGAGGGTATTCGGCGGGTTCCCACCCTGTACTTAGCCATGTTTTATGGCGGTCCGCGAGCATGATTGTCAATTGGCCAGCGGCACATCCTGTCCAGATCCATGAGATTCCATGTGCCAGATCCCAGATCGTAGTTTCAAGATCCCAGCTCCGAGATCCCAGACCCCAGTACGAAGTCGAAGTCGAACGGCCGACGGCCTGCAGCTTTTTGTCTTTATTAGCGTTTTGGCAATAAATCAAAGCGCCAGCTCTCAGCGACGACGACTCACATGTGGCCCTGGTACTCTATACTCGGTACTCGTACTGGAAATGGCCAGTTTGTCCCCCAGAGATACCTTTAGACCAACCCCCTCCACCACTAGATATTTCTTTTTGTTTACTTTACATGCGCATAAACGACGTTTGACCGCCCGGCAATATTTCAAAATTAATCCAACTGCCAGCGATGACGAAGTGTGGCTCACTTTCCAAGCGTCGCGTATTTGTCCAGTTTTTATTTGTATTTCTATTTCCATTTCCCCCGCTAGAAGAGTGGGGAAAATAAATCAATTGTGAATTGCGGTTTGCCGGTTAGTTGGGTTATTACTCAATCTCTGTGGTCCCATTGGTTTTTATTCGTTTACCGCCACAGTTCCCTTTTATGGCACACGGACAAAATTAATTGCCCGACTAATGAAGCACAGCATTGAGCAGGCGATCGCACAATGAGATCTACGATAGCTGAAATCTGATATGTGATATGGCCACAAACTCGAGATGTCGAGATGGCTTGGAAAACGGAGATAAACGACAGTCAGCTCAATTGAAAGGCAAAATGACTGTTTCTTATCTGTTCGAATGCGGGGAGGAAAGGATAAAGATAAGTTTTCTATTTGAAAATATTAAAATACAGGGTATTTCCTAAACTGTTGAATTGCTGAATTGTTGAGAATTCAACAGAAAATTTCAGCAATTAAGGGAACGACCCAAAATGGTTCCTGTTGAATTTTCAAACAGCTGTTGTAAGGTGACAACTCTGGGTTTCAACGATCGATAGAATTAATATCGTATCTTACTGTTTTATATCGATATTTTTGCTAATAAAGCTTAGTATCGGTTAGGTGACAACCCTGATACTATCTGGAAAATTATCTCAGCTTCCAGGAAGTGTGACGTTTGGCAGAAAAAGACAAGAAGGCCTGGATTTTTCATTCAATTGTTATAAGGAACTTTTTGCACTCCGGTAAGTCGTGATACATTTAAAAACTATTTCTAAATACTATATTGTGATTTTAAGAAAATGCCGGCCAGACGAAGTCAGCGGGAACCCGCGGCTCCAGCAGCCAATTCCCGCTCAGAGATGAGTCTTCGTGGAACTCGCAATCCGAATGCCCAGGCTGCAGCACCTCGTGGTCGGGGATCCGCTAGGGGCAGGAATGCTCCTGCATCAACGGCGGCAACTCGTGGACAAAGTGGTGGCCGGGGGGCAATGGGGGGAAGGAACCTCGCCGAAATAACAACAAATCTGGCATCTCTGGCCAGAGAAGTCAATCTGCCAACCGCAAGTGGATCGAACCCACCCGGAAATGCATCTGCTACTGGGGCAGTTGGGGGACCAACCAGGACCTTATCCACCTCTAGACTGCGAAAGGAGTTGGCTAACTTCTACAAGGAGGAATCAGAGGGATGCAAAGTGGAACTGGAAAACGATAACCTCTACCACTGGATCGCCACTATCCCAGGACCCTCGGGAACACCTTATGAGGGCGGCCGCTTCAAGATGTGGTTAAAATTTCCCGATAATTATCCCTTCAAAGCGCCAGATCTTCTGTTCAAAACAAAGATCTATCATTGTAACATTAATATCTCAGGCCTCCTGTGCCTGGACATTCTCAACTACAATTGGTCGCCGGCTTTGTCGGTATCGAAGCTCCTCATTTCGATAATGTCCTTGCTGGCCGATCCGAATCCAAACTCACCCCTGAATGCGGAAGCTGCCAGTTTGTACAGGAAGAATCGCACTAAGCACGATGAGAATGCCCGCAAGTGGACCGAGAAATATGCCAAATAGTTTCGATTATTGTGTTCAGTGTTCAGGGAGCTTAAATCCCTTTAAGTATTCGTTTGAGTTTATAAATTAGTTGGTTATTGTTAGTGAATACATGTTGAATATTATTGTGGGTACCCATAATGGGTACTCAAAACATACATACGTAGATTCAAAATAAAAAAAAACAAACCTTAGTTATTTTGACTTTTAAATTAAATTAAATTTTATTTAATACTTTGAGTACATAATTATTCAATTATTTATTATTCTAGTAATTCACAGTATTTTCTGCGAGTGCGGGGATAGATACATATACATATGAATATGGTATGGGTAATTTCTGGGCTATCCATCATGGCTCGTGTATATCTGCTTATATCGCCGTCAGTGGCTGCCTTCATCTATCAGCATATTTGAAATGCCCCAGCATCAAAATCAAACTAATTGCAAGCCTAACTTCAACGTCATGCCTTAGTTAACTCAACATCGAACCTTTCCACATATAAGATGAAGGGGGAGGGGGTTTCTTGGGGCACCCAACTGCGTTGGCCCATGTCAATGGGTCCGTTTGTCGTGCCTCGAGACATGAAAAACGAATTCAAGTCAAACTCTGAGACTCTGGGCTCAAATCCGAAAAGCAAACGCACGTGCCGCACAAGCGAAACAACTTCATTTTCAGATCATTTGTGGGGCTGCAGCGGAAAAACCCCCCACTCACTCCTCTTATACCATACCTTTCGGAATGGAGGTTGTAGAGCACTATTTTTGACATTTCTGTGGCGCCAGCTGAACAACAACGGCCAAGATCCCAGCTGACATGCGTCAAACAACAATCAAAATACATTCGTTGTTTGGCTTTTTTATTTTTATTTTTATTTCTATCCCCAAAACGTGTGCTCGCTGGGCCGGCCATTCATTAGGAACTCGTTTTTAACTTCTTTTTCGAGGCCCGAGAATCGCTTCGATGTGTGACAGAAAATCGTTGGGATGTTGTCGACTGCCAATTAACCGAATGACCAAAAATGCGTACAACATCGTAGACTGGCTCCATATGGCGTTTATATGTTGTATTTATATTTTTTTATTTTATCAAACGCCTTGAGATCTCACTTATGAAATCCCAGAATCATTAGTATCCCGATTTTACGTGACAATTTTTAAGACAAAAGATAAGATCCAAACATATGTTTTATTTTTATTGAATTAATTTTTAAAATTGTGTTTTGTTAATATTTTTGGCGACCATTTTGCTTGACATTTTTTCCCCCGAAAGATTAAAATCAAAAGCAAAACGGTAAAGGAAAAATGCAGTTTGTGAATTATTAAGTTGTTTTCTCTGCAGCCACGGGACTTAAGTTAATTAAAACATTTTTGATTTAAGTACGAGTTTCTCCCCTATTTTTTTTTATTTAGCCAATTCATGCATTTTGGCCTCTTGGCGCAACACTTTAGCCAAACAATTTTGGTCGAGTAATTTTCCTGAGCCGAAATCAACTGGCAAAAGGCCGCAACTGAAATGCAAATGCAGGCAATTTTTCTATAATATTGTTGGGAGGATTTTGCAGTACCCTAACGAAAGGTTGATCGGGAAATCTATGGGCTTTGTTCGAATCTTGGGAATCCCGGCGATAGAGTATCTCTGACTTGATTCGTTGATTTTGTTAATAGCTTCGATTTTCCTTCCTTTTTTCTTTTTTTTTTTTTTTGTGAGCCACCAAAGTTATTTGACTTTCAAATGAGCTGAATGCGCGAGCAGCCTGCGGCAGTTTTTCAGTATCTGTTTTTTTATGAGTTTTTCCGCAACATTTTCAACTGCCGCGATTTCTGTGGCAATTTGCAATGCAAAACTGCCGAAAACAAAGAAATGTTTTTCGGTCTGCCAAAACGGACGACAATAAAAAGCGACAGTTGACTCGTGTTGCAAGATATATTGTTGTTCCCATTGTTTGACAATGTGATGTGCAAAGAGCCACCGAAGTTAACTTGGGAATAGAGCTGGCAAACCAATAGATAATTCCCTCGATTGTATCGATTGTGGATTTTTAAGGGCACGATTAAGATGATTTTGAGATTTATTGCTATATTTTAATGAATTTAATGAAGGTTAAATTAACTTACACAGCAAAAAAAACACAATAGTTCTTAAAAATCTTAAGGGAAATTTAAAAAAATAATTTAGAGCTATGAAAAAATACTTTATAAATCTAAGAGATTTTTCAAAGAATTGTATTAAAGTAAATTATAAAATAAAATAGAAAATGAAATAAATTATTAAGAATTTTCATATTTCATCAATAAAATAGTATTGCAATTTAGATATTTAAGTTTTTACCCCCATAGTAGGACCATCTCTATCCAAAGATCCAGCCAGGAAGCCAACTTAGTGGGTCAAAACGCATTCTTCCAACAAAGGCGACCACAAAAATGAATAATTACGGGCGAGCATTGCCGGATAATGGCACATATTTATGGCCCAAACGATGGAGTTGTCTCCTCGCCAAGAAATAAAGTAGCAGAGTAGCCAAGTAGCAGAGTAGCAACTGGTAGCAGAAATATGTCCCGGTAATTTACCAAACATATTATCACAACAATGTTGGCGGCATTAACGGTGCTTTCCATACGTGTAAGGCCACTGAAAGAGCCGCCTGAGAAGCTAAAAACCAAAAAAAATCAAACCTGGCCAAATGAAATATTTGTAACACATTAGCGCAAAGCGATTTCTAATGGCCGAAGCATTTGTTACCCCGAAGTCGGGGATTTAGTCGGTGAACCGTGCAGTTTCGCCGAATCCCCAAGTGCCCAAATGCCGGGCCATAACTCATCTGTTCTCCCGTTTGAATCTCGGCCATAATTGATAGTTGGGTATCGCCGCTGTAATGGAGATATTTTTCCCGCGAAATGTGTAACCTAAATGATTGCCATTTTTGGATCACCACTGCGGTTGTTTGGCCAAGCTGGCCAAATCGCGTCAATCGAATTGATTTTAGGGAGTGTAGGAATTAATAGAGAAAATTTGAAGTTACAGAAAATTTTGGATTTGGTAGGGAGGTTTTCATTATATCACTACTTATTGTCTAATTAAATCTGATTGGGTTTGCTTGGGGAACAAATCAGTTCTTAGTTTAACCCTACACTACAGTAAGAATGTTTGGTGAAATCTTGGAAGTTGTAACTTTACTGGTTTCGTACTTTGTTTTGATACGTTAAATTTGATTAAAAATTTTATAAAATCTTAATTTAAGTTAAGAAAAAATGTCATAAATTATATGAATTCACCTTTGATTGTCGAGTGAAAGCCTAACATTTTCCCATCTAAAATCGAGCTGAACTGCGTTTAAAGTGTCTCCAATTCGGTTGAATGCTCACTGCACATTCCACATTCCGTTGACCAACTTGCGTCCAAACATCCAAGCACTCTGAATGCCTTGCACTAACATGAGCATAATTAAACAAATATTTACACACTTTAGTTGCCCAGTCACTTACTTACCGTTTTGCTTCTGCAGAAGTTGCTTTTGCTGCTGTGACATTTGTTTTCGTTCAACTAACGAAGTCTGGATCGAAAACCCTTTGGTTTGGGAAAATTTTCCCTTTTACTTGTAGGAAAACGAAATACCAATATGCCACCGTGGAAAAGACAAACAAGTCGCTTGTTTGCAGACTTTGACTTGACTATGATTTTCCACTGATTTTTATGGCTTTATGAAGGGTTTTTTATTGTTTTTTATTGGCTCAATTAAAAGGAGAAAAGAAAACACACTCGACATACTCGAGTGATATTCATAACCGAAATTCCAGCACGCTTTATGACGTCGCCCGATTTCTGTCCAGATTATTCACGGTTTTATTTCTTGAATATTTTTTATATACTTTTTCTTATTGCTCTTTTCACTGGAAATCGGCTTTCAGTTGATTTTTCATTGTGCGCGGCTCAGAAAAAATATTAAAATGAATCTCGTTGACGAAATCTTTATCGCGGAGGTAACCCTATATGGTTTTTGGGACTACCGTTCGGAGTCCCAAAGTGCTTGACATCGTTTTGGGTAGCGAGATCGCAGCGAGTGAAATCCATCCATCCATTGTGCCCATTAATTTGTCAATGATAATTCGCCGTCTCTTTATAATTGCTGAATGATATAACTCGCCGTCACAATCGATCAATTTGGCATACATAAATTGTGCTTTGTCCGCGCGGAGATCGCAGTGAGTGAGTTATATATCCCCGTGTTTATATATCTCTTACCCGGGCACGATCTGTGATCACAGTTGCTGCTGTTGCAGTTGCTGTTGTATATGTTGCTGCTGTAGATGTTGCTGCTGTGGCTGCAACTTGAGTGCTGCACAAATTGCCTGTTGCTGCTGCCCGTCTTAAAGTAGCTTTAATTAAAGTGTGCGTTTTAAATGTCGACGTTTGGAATTTATTGGCTTTTTATGCTCACTCTCTAATTTTATTTGCTTTTACGTGGCCACACAATTTGCATTGTCCGTGTTTAGTGGCTCACAGCATCTCCTTTCTGATCCCAATCCCAATCCCATCCAGAAAATCATTCTGCTTTTTATGATATACTTAATTGAACTGCCGCTGCTGCCGATGTTAAATTCGCGTTTAATTGTTCAATTCGAATTGTTTTCGGCCACTCGGCCACTTAGCCAATTCGCGTTTCCAATTAGCCGGAATGGAGGCACGCAGCTGGTGGCCCATTAACCCCTGCTGGCCGATCTCCGTTTCCCAGGAGCTAGGATTACCATCTCAGCAGCCATGTCATCCAATACTCACATCCATCTCTAGTTCTCAACTCGAGTGTCAAATGCCCATATTGTGCGCACTGATTTATTGTGTGTGTAAAGTGTCACGCCGGCGACAACAGCCACCGCTGTGAATGTGACTGCGATTGTGACAGTGACTGCCAGTGAATACTGCAAAAAAAAATCATTAGAGATCAGAATTTCATAAGAAATAATTTTATAAATTGTAACTTAAAAAGTCAAGAATTTTACATTTGTTTAAATTTTTTTTGTTTTTTAAAAGTAATAAGCATT